TATTTATACTAATCTGTAAATATTATCAAGTCAAAACCACGAAGAAAGAGGAAAAGATGAGGATGAGAAAGGAAGAAATCGTGATAAAGATAAAGAGAGAGAGAGAGAGAGAGAGAGAATAGATGTATGGATGATGAAGAAATAGGAATATAAAAACCTTATGGATTATCCATCAATTTTGTATTCAATGAAAGCCAGATAATCGGCTTAGTGTATTTCTCTCTCTCTCTCTCTCTCTCTCTCTCTCTCTCTCATTCTCTTCTCTTCTCTTTCTTTTCATCATTATCTTCATCATCTCTCTCATAAGACAACCTCAACTGCTAATAAATTGTCTCATCATTATTGAAGATGAGGAAGAGAGTAAGAGTGAGAGAAAAGGTAAAGTTAACACCAATAAAATTCAATCAATGAACTTATCTTTTTATTTCTAACTTTCTCTTTCTTTCTTTCTCTTTCTCTTTCTCTTTTTCTTTCTCTTTCTCTTCATCTTCTTTTACTCTTCATAATATATAGAGTCCCTTGCAGGTACATCTTATGTACAAGTCATCAGTGAACATCCTTCATCCTCTTTATATTTCATCTTCTATATTTTTCCCGTCTTCAGCATCCTACTGTCATCTTGTTGTCTCGGTTATGCTCAACATCATCATCATCATCTCTTCATCCTCTAACATCATCAATGTTTTTTGCCTTTCTTTTCTTGCTGGTGGTTACATAAAACTAGATTTTCAACAGCAGGTTTTCAAAAGTTTCATCTTTCTCATCATTCAATAAAGATGATCATCTACCGGATTATGAATATGGATCATCCTCTTATACACAATCATCCTCATCATAATCTACATGTATTATCATTATGAATAAACAATATTTAATAAAATCTAATTCCAGAGAGAGAAAGAAAGATGAAGACGAAGATGATAGAAAACAATGGATTCGATTCAATCATCAATATATTGGAAAGAAAAAGGTAAATATCGAATCGAGATGAAAAATGGATACAGATGATACTAAGTAGGAGTGAGAATTGAAATGCTGGGAGTTAAAAATTATCTTCTCGCTGACTAGCGTTTTACTTTGCCATCTCATCATATCTCTTGGAAATTATTATTATTATTATCATTATATTATCATTACCATGTTATAGGATTTTATGTGTAATGTCAAAAGCTTATTAAATCCCTTTTAATACCCTCATTCAGGTAACTTTAAATCCTAATACCAAGAGATTATCTTTACTTTCTGGTTATATTTAACATTTACACAATATATAATAAATATAAATATAATATCCATAGGGAAAAATGTAACTAGCAACAGAAAAAAATCAACAGTCACTTCAGTGCCTAAACATTAATGAAATATATCACCAATGTAAATAATTTCACCATCAGAATCTCATCTGATTGTTGATCCAAATGATATCAAGGTAACTCAATGAACAATATTATTAATTAGCTCTTTAGACTTTGATAATAATATAAGTGTGCCAATTGTATTGTCATATTTGCATATGAGGAAACTAAAAAAATACTATTTTCCTTTCCTGTTGATTTTATCAATTTCGTCTGAGTGAAATGTTGATAATACATTTGAGGGAAAAATGGGAAATACATTTTCGCCCGTTTGTCAATCCGTTTCCTCCATTAGTGTCCATTCATCAATTTACCTTTGTCCATTACTATTATTATCCAGAACTATTAATAGGTTGATGTAACAGGATGATGATGATGATGATTATTAAGATGATAAAGAAGATGCATTTCAAATTAGTAAAAAGTGCAATAAAATGATGATATTATTGGTAAGTGAATGAAGATGAATTGATAACAAAAAAATCGCATTTTCTTTCATCAGAATATATGGAAAATTTTCTTACGTGGTTAACAATGTAAACGAAGTGTGTGTGTGCCCATTTCTTTATTCGTGTTTTTTACGTGCTAATTTGTGATAATACTCCTTAGCCATTTCTTTATCTTCTCGTGTATTATTATTACTGTTATTGTTGCTCTGAGTGTTGTTGTTGTTGTTGATTATGACGATTATGTTATTGCTAATACTTATGGATTATATTATATGAAAGGTAAATAGATGAAAGTTTTTCTTTTGCTTGGTTTTCCATACAAAAGGTTAAGACTATTGAACCATATTAATGGTATTAGTCTATTTAACTCGTAATGGTGTGTAAGTGCTTATGTGTCTTCATCGTGTGTTGGTGTCTCTTGTTGTTGTTGTTGTTGTGCCCACTGTTGGTCTACATAATGGATTGGGATACGATGATAAGAAGAGATAAAATCTGTTACAATGACGACAAATACACCATTAGGATAAACGACCATTGGTGCTGATGTAAAGTACGAAGTGTATCAGTAGGAAGGAAGAAGATGCTGTTCGATGGATGGATGAAGATCAGGATGAGGAAAAGGGTAACATAGAAAAGAAAGAAAGAAAGAAAGAAAGAAAGAAAGAAAGAAAGAAAGAAAGAAAGAAAGAAAGAAAGAAAGAAAGAAAGAAAGAAAGAAAGAAAGAAAGAAAGAAAGAAAGAAAGAAAGAAAGAAAGAAAGAGAGAGAGAGAGAGAGAGAGAGAGAGAGAGAGAGAGAGAGAGAAATAAAAAGATGAGGAGAAAGGAAAAAGCTCCATCATCAGAGTGATGTTAATGTTTGAATATAAAAGACAGAGTAAAAAAGTGCGAAAATGGTTTTGTTATCAGAGGAAGAGAAGATGATGATGAAGAAGAAAAAAATTCGAAAGAAGATGAAGAGAAAAAAAGAAAGATATCAAGTTAGATGATGTTAAAAGCTCCTTTCAAAACTAGCCTTTTCTCTCTAACCATCATCTTCTTCGTATTCTGTGATCCATGCACCCCTTCAACTTCATCTCTCTCTCGCTCTCGCTCTGTAAAGAAGCATTAACTCTGGACATCTATTGAGTCTATCCAGTGAACCTCAATATTGAACAATTTTTAATTCCTTTAACCAAAAATTTTCGTTACTACATCATCATCTATTGATTTTTCAAGGTTTTCTTATCCTCATCTCTCTTTCTCTCTCACTCTCTGACTCTCTCTCTCTTTCCTCTTCTTCGGCATCCAGTTTATAGCTCTCACTCTTCATTTAACCTTCTCCTCGCTCACTTTGTTTACACACTTTTGCCTCTTCTGTTTATGGATCTCAATACTAACCTCATTTGTTGGTGTAGTAAAAAAACGTCGGCTCTTCATTTTCATCTTCATTAGCTCGATCATCTCTTTCATCTTCGTTGTCATCATCATCATCATCGTCATCTCTCTCTCTCTCTCTCATACACGCAAACCTTTTTCTGCTTAAACTCCGATGATTATGATAACTTTATTTACAAAGACATGAAAGAGAGATGCTATTTGTGATAAAACGATGAAGATGACGGAAGATCTGTAAAAATATTGTTTAGATTGTATTGAAATCCATTGAAATTAAAGCAAACAAAATTATCTTTCTCTCTCTCTCTTTCTATGATCCATATCTTAATCCTTAATCTTACAAACCTAAATCTTGAAATAGTATCAACAACAATCATAACAACTAAAATTTCAAACAGTATTTATTTGTATTACCAAAGAGCCAATTGATTTACAACTTTTTCTTACCTTTAAATTAATTCTAATTGTTGTATACAAAGAGAGAGAGAGAGAGAGAGAGGCAAAGTTAAATAACCACAGAAAACGATAAACAATTTAACATTTAAAACCATTTGAGCTTCTTAATCATTTGATATAAGCAATTAAATCAATTAAATGATTAATCCGTTTGTCTGTTCACCAGTCTCACATTTTATTATCATTTGTTTATCAGTCTATGATTTAAGGTATGAAGACAATTTTTCATCCTCATCACTTTTTACCTTTAAATGTTTTATTATCAACGACGAGAGAGAGAGAGAGAGGAGAAAATTTCATCTTCTTTGATGCTTCTACCTTTTTCTTTATCTATTCATCTTGGTTATTATCTTTTCCTCCATCTTCATCTCCACCTTATCTTCCTCATCCTTCATGTTGATCATCATTTTCATTGAGCTTTTGCTGTTTGTGGCTTTTTCTCATACTATTATCTCAGGTTAACCTTGTATTCGTGCCTGATTACTGATATTTAATGATGATCATGATCATCACTGAGACGCCCTTCTGATGAAATATTAAACTTTTAATCTTACGGTGAATCCAGTTCAATATTCCCACTCCTCCTTTCTCCTTTACCTTTTGATTATTTTTTCATTTTCTATCAAAAATTTACCTTTATCTACTCTCTCTCTCTCTCTCATTCACCTTTAATTTAACTTTAGTATACTTCCTCCTATCATAGGGACAATGTTGATGTTTCACCTTCATCATCAGTATCATCATTTATTTATCAATATAACTTGTTAAAAAAAATGAAAACATTACAACATTACCTGCCCAGGGTCACCTTATTCACCATCATCTCTGTAACAACAAAGGTCCACCCAAAGGATCATCCACCTTCAGTATCATCATCTCAACCTTTAATGGTGAATACTATGAGGGTGATGATGATGATGCTTGTTATCATGCAATCATCATGGAAAACTTTTCACTGTGGAAGAAAAAAGTTACAAACTTTCATTAAGAAGAAAAAGTTCTATTCACTCGAAACACATGATGCCCTCTATTGAAAAAGAGAATAACTTACCGTTAGCTCATATGAATTACAATGAGAAAATAAATGGAATTTCAGAATTTAAGAGAAAAGAAAAAAAAACTTGATGATGAGAATAATTTAGGAATCATCATCATTCTAATCATCATGCTAATCATTATTATCTTCCATTTTATTTCTACATTCATTATTCTACTTTTTTTCGCTTCTTTTTTCCTCTTCATCTGATTCTTTCTCTCTTTTCCTCTATTCATCTCCATGAAGATGATCTCTCTCTCTCTCTCTCTCTCTCTCTCTCTCTTGCCTTCAAAAATTTCATTTGGCAACTAGTAGCATCTAACCCATGCCAACATGATGGTAATTTTAGTAACTCAAGTTTACCGACTGAGTGAAAATGAACGAAGGTATCTTTTCAAACCTTCTGGAACCACTTTTATAATGTCTCACTCAATTCATATCTTCACTTGGTTTTTCATCTTTCTCTCTCTCTTTATTTTTCATCATCATTATCATCATCTTTCTTATAACTTATTTGAGTATCAATTCGTAATCATCATCAAGTTTTGTAGATTTTTATTTACAATAAACACTCAACTCTTCAGACAGTAGAACATAAACAAAAAAGGAATAAAAGAAAAATAAAAGTTTCAACTTTGGAAAATTCGTCGAAAAAACAAATAACAAGTTCGATAATCAGTTCTAATTGTTTCAAGTTAAACTTTTTCGTTTCTTTCTTCCCACCGGTAAATTATTAAAAGTGAAATTTAAATCTTGGATATCACTCATTTTACACCTCAATTTGGCCTCAATTGCAATTAGGAGTCATGGCGATGATAAGAGCTGGAGGTGGAGGTGGACTTAATAGTGGACCATGGGCCGAACTCATGGAAAGATTTCGTGAAAAGCAACATAATCAATCTAAACGCGATCAGCAGTAAGTTTGATTGGATTTCTGTCCCTTCTCATAACTAGAATTTAGAATAATATTCTCATGATTGTTCCCCATCATCTCATGTGGGACAAGAATTTTAGAATAGAATTTTTCTCTTTGCTTCTTTCTCTTGTTTATCCTCATCACCTAAATTTGTCTCTTTCTCGTGAATTGCATATTCTTCTGAACAATGTTTAGCTTCAGTAGTTAACTTACCTTGTTTTTGAAATTTCACGAGACCTGATCTTCCATTTTTTTCCCTGGGATTCATCATGTAATTTACTTTGAACACCTATGGAAAAGTTGAGTTGAATAATCAAATTTGTAATTAGTTGAATTTCCATATTGATTCTGATTGGAAAGGATATGAAAATTTCGGTGTAAATATTTTGGCAGGTTCATTTCATTTCTACTCATAATCGAGAGAAATACTTTCAGCTGATTTATCATGGAAATAGAAAACAAAAGTTCATAAGACAGCCAAGTTTCCCATCTCTTTCTCTATCTTTTCTGTTTCATTTTTTCTCAGGGGGAAAATATATATAAGATTCAGTTCGATAAACAAACAGAATGTTGATTTGAAGTTTCTGCCTCAGGGTGTTAATACTTTATATTAAAGTTTCTTCAATCAATTGATTGTAAACACTTCATCTCGATGATTATATGATAATAGTTTCTCTTTATTTTATCGATCGATTGAATTATTTGTCAGTATTAATCTTGTAAGTTCAGTAAAATTCTGATTTCAATTTTCTCGTTTTCTTATTTTGAACAAGGAAAAAAAAGTATTTTTCTCTTCTTTTTATGATTCTCATTGTTCATCAAGAATCTCTCATGAAATCTCATTGGAAGTGATTAAATTCATTGAAAATTAGATAAACAATCTAACAGTTTGCTCGTTAACGTTAAATCTCAGGTCATTTCCGAAGACGATTGGAAGTGAGGGTTATAATGAACGATCGGAAGGCGGATTCTCTTTTGGACCTTATCGACGATTTGAACAGATCAATCACGATCATACACTTTGCGAACGGGTAATAATCAATGTTAGTGGAACTAAATTTGAAACTCAACTTCGAACTCTAAATATATTCCAAGATACTCTTCTAGGAGATCCTATTCGAAGAATAAGGTCAGTTTACTGTTAGAAAGAGTTATTAATAGTTCTGGTCATTTTTTTTTGTTTTCCTCTTGAATTTATATGAAAAGTTTTGAGAGATTTTCTTTTTCCTTTTTCTTATTTTCTCTCTCATTCTCTCCATGGATTAGATATTTTGATCCAAATCGAAATGAATACTTTTTCGATCGATGTAGAATCGCCTTTGAAGCTATTCTCTACTACTATCAAAGCTGTGGTCGTCTTCGTCGTCCAGGTAATGTTCCGTTGGACATTTTCGTTGAGGAGGTTAAATTTTACGAACTTGGTGAAGAAGCACTGGAAAAGTTAAAAGCCGATGAAGGTTTCGCACCGGACAAAGAGGAAAGGCCACTTCCAACCAATGAACTTCACCGGAAATTGTGGCTCCTTTTTGAACATCCCGAATCCTCTCAAGCAGCTCGAATCGTTGCCATAACCTCAGTTCTAGTGATAATTATATCAATTGTCATCTTTTGCCTGGAAACATTGCCTCAGTATAAACATTACAAGATTTTCACCACATTCGATAACAAAACTCGAGTCCTCGAAGACGATGTCCCATCAACGTCAAACCCTTTCTTTATCATTGAAAGTCTGTGCATAGTTTGGTTCCTTGTCGAGTTTCTTATACGGTTATTTGCTTGTCCATCGAAAATTGAATTTATCAAAGTAAGTAAACAAATCGTAAAATTGAAAAACAAAATTCGAAAGAAACAATTATCCTCAATCTCTACATCGTAAAGATAGAAAATGATAATTTTGTTTACTTTCTATTTCTCAATTTCATGGAAAAATCTATCATGAAATTTGAAACTTTCTCCTCGTTCCAATATAAATACAAGTATCATCATCTTTCAAGGATCAGATTTGTTTCTTGAACGATTTTTTTTTCTCCCAATCATCTGAATAATAATTCTTGAAATTGATTCTATTCAATCTAATATTCAAATTCACTTCTTTTCCCTCGATTAATCAATTCTGACAAGGATGGAAAGTTGAACTCCATCATGAATATGATATTGTTTTTGAATGAATTTCTGTTTGAATATGTATTAGTTAGATAATTTTTGAAATTCTTTTCTTTTCAATTGATATTCAACTCTCAGGATATAATGAATGCTATCGATTTCATGGCGATCGTCCCATTTTTCATTACTCTGGGAACCGTTTTCGCGGATAAGGAAGAGCCGAAAACTTTTAGTGGGGAGAAACAAAATCAAGGTGCTTCCTTGGCCATACTTCGAGTCATTCGATTGGTTCGAGTTTTTCGTATATTCAAACTTTCCCGTCACTCAAAAGGCCTTCAAATACTTGGAATGACATTAAAAGCTTCACTTAGAGAATTGGCTTTGTTAATATTTTTCCTTCTAATCGGTGTAATCCTTTTCTCTTCAGCGGTTTACTATGCCGAAGCAGGTTCCGAAAGGTCATACTTTAAATCGATACCCGATGCCTTTTGGTGGGCCGTTGTCACCATGACCACCGTGGGATACGGGGATATGGTTCCCCTTGGTGTTTGGGGCAAAATGGTTGGCTCTTTATGCGCCATTGCCGGTGTACTGACTCTCGCTCTTCCAGTGCCTGTGATAGTTTCAAATTTTAATTATTTTTACAATCGGGAAATGGGTTCAGAAGATTTAAACAATATTAACCTTCGACATGTTAAAAGTTGCCCTTACATTGGCCTTTACCCTTATCAACCTCCACCCTCACCGACAACACAAACAACTGCAACTTCATCATCTTATACAATCAATCAGGATGTTGACCAAAGTAATGATGATCTTGACGGCGGTGGTGGTGATGGTCAATTTCAACGATCATCATTCAATCAGATTACTCATGATTCTGGTGATGATGATAACAATTCACAAACATCTTTACCTGATATTACATATCAATATCCTCATTATTATCATCATTATCATCAGAAAGTAATAACAGCCAATAAACAATACCAGCAACAACAACAACAACAACAACATCCTCATCATTCCTCTTCCTCAGCTTATCATCATTCTCATCATCATCATCATCATCATCACCATCATCATGTTTATAGTAAGTTAACCAATGATAATGATGGTACAACTAATCAAGATTATTCAAACTGTGATTCTCAATATCATTTAAACCAATTAATTAATCAAAAAATTCAAACTTGACTTGAGATTATCATTTTTTTATCCTCATCCCTGATCAAAGATTCAAGCACATTCACCATCCTCATCTTGTTGAAAATTTCATCATCATCATCATCATTTTATCCTCTCTCCCCCACAGCCATCATCTTCAATTGTTAAATTGTTATATAAATGAAAAATTTCTAATCACAATTAATGTTAATTGTTTTGTCATTTCATTTTCTCTTTTTTTTGTTGGATTCATAATAATTAATTGTTTCCATTTCTTGTAATGGGAAATCACCACAAAGTTTTCAAATCTTATTACCGATTATTATTGTTACTATTACGATAGTTCATCAATTGAACTCGATTAAAGTTATTGATTGCCAATCGTTTTCTCAACAATTAGCAACAATTAAGATTCATTTTGTTAAACTTTTCTGTTTAATTTTGTTTATTTTCTCATCTCAAATGATATGATATTTTGTTCATTAGGCTGTTGATTTGTTATTGTTGTCATTGTCATTTGTACAATTAAGTTAATCAATTTACAATTTTGGGTTTGACATGTTTCAAAAAATACATGACTGTTGATCAAATGATTACAATTAACTTGTTTTCAATCAACGCGATTACAATTAAGTTTTTGTGTCTTGAGTATGTTGACAGGAAGAGTTGACAATAATAATATCAGGTTGATATGTAATAATTATTATATTATATTGACATTTACGATCAAATAACTTGGTGAGAAAAGTTTTGTTTCGAGTTGTTGAAAAACGATAAATATATATAAGAAATTATCTCATTAAAATCCTTGATTATTATTATCCATGAGTATGTGATTAGTGAATTTAATTGTGATTAGCAAATTGTTACAATCGATTTTGACTTTGTAAAAATCCATCAATTTCCAAGGTTAATCCAAACAAATCGAGATTAACAAGTTTCTTTTTCCCTTGTTAATTGTTTCATGTCATGAATTGAAACTGAATTGATAATGATGATAAATTAATTATGTGAATATTGGATTAACAGGAAAAAAAATAAAACAACAATCAAAAGTGTCAACAATTAAATTAAATTACCTGTGGTCTTGTGTTGCCATCTATCGAGAATGAATATCGTTTTTTCATTCATTTCTGAATCATGGTTAGTTAATTTGATTAGATGAGAAAGAAAAAAGGTTTTCATGTTAATTCAGTTCAGTTATTCATCATTCTTGTCAACTGATTCAGCATTTTATTAATTATCATGAGCAAGAAACTGAATATTTTGTTTGTCTATGAGAGATGAACTGTTTTTTTGCTTCGCTTTTGTTTTTACAATTAACTATGTACTCTATGCACACTTTGGATGGTGGTGAAGATGAAGATGAAGATGAACATGAAGATGAACATGATGATGAGGATGAAGAGGATGAAGCTTGGAGATGGTGGAAAGTGAGAGAGGGACAAATTCTCACTCAAATAATATAATACGAGGAGAGACTCAGTGTGAGATTCATATGTAACATATGAATACCAATCATGAGGTGGAAGAGGTTATTTCAAAGACTCGATTCTTACTGTAGGGAAAAAAGTCTTACAAGTAAAAAAAATGAAAGTGAAAATGAACCCACCCCACCGCCTTTCCTTAGAGTGGATTGAATTAACATGATGATCAGGGGGGTTTTCAGTTGTTCACAGTTTCCATTTGGATCATAATTGTGTTGACATAACGGAAATTTGACCTTTTCTCGATTGATTTGTATTGATAGGAACAGTTCCACTTGATGTAGCTAAAGTTGCTATTCCACCGACACTTGAACCATATTTGGCCTGATGTCGGCGTGGTGGTCGAGTTATTTGCTGACCATTTTCACCGGTGTAACAGTTTAACTTGAGATCAGAATAGGATGTATAACGTAGTCGGGTTTCACCAAGATTGGCTGGAAGAAATGGACAACTGCCCACATGGTCCAAATTATTGGACTGTAGGTCTTCTTGGTCAGTTTCTCGATGGTAAAAGTAGTTAAAATTAGAAACGATAACGGGAACTGGAAGCGCAATGGTTAATACACCGGCAATGGCACAAAGAGAACCGACAACTTTACCCATTACACCGATAGGTCTCATGTCACCATAGCCAACGGTGGTCATGGTGACAACGGCCCACCAAAAGGCGTCAGGTATTGACTTAAAATATGACCTTTCGGAATCCGCTTCGGCATAATAGACCGCTGAAGAGAAAAGGATAACTCCAATGAAAAGGAAAAACATTAATAGTCCAAGTTCACGGAGAGATGCTCGCAAGGTCATACCAAGAATTTGTAAACCTTTAGAGTGACGGGATAATTTAAATATACGGAAAACACGAACTAAACGGATAACCCTAAGAATGGCCAGTGACATGGCCTGATTTTGCTTTTCGCTGACAAATTTAACGCTATCTTGCTCTTTATCGCCAAAAACGGTGGCCAATGTGATGAAGTATGGGATAATCGCCATCAGATCAATTGAATTCATTATATCCTGAAAAAAAAATTAGAAGGAAAATAATAACATTTAGATTAGAAGATTGATTCGAAAGGTTTGAAAAGGTCGAGATGTGGACTTACTTTAATGAAAGCAATTTTCGACGGACAGGACAGAAATCGAACCGATAATTCAACTGAGAACCAAATTATACAGAGAGTTTCAATGATGAAAAAAGGTTCATTTACCGAGGGAACTTCATCTTCAATTACTCGGGTCATGTTGTTTGCAGTTCGAAATATTTTATAATGTTTAAACTCGGGAAGGGTTTCTAAGCAAAAGATCACAATGGAAAGTAATATAACGGCAACTGAGGTTATCGCAACCACCCTGGCTGCTTGTGAGCTTTCAGGGTACTCAAAGAGAAGCCAAACTTTACGCTGAAGTTCATTGATTGGTAAAGGTTTTTCCTCTTCTTTAACATAACCTTCATCTTCACGGAACTTGTTAAAAGCAGCATCACCAAGCTCAAAGAAACGAACCTCTTCCACGAAAACGTCTAATGGCACATTCGCTGGTCGTCGAAGCCGACCACCGCTTTGGTAAAAGTACAAAATGGCATCAAAACAAGTTCGACTTCGATCAAAGAAATACTCATTTCGATTTGGATCATAGAACCTAATAGAATGGAAACAAAGAAAAAGTGAGAAGAGATCGAGAGTTGAATTATTGCAGATCAACTTTGGATGAAATTTTTTTTCCATCATTCGAAAAGTTTATTATATTAATACTTTATAATACCTCATTCGGCGGTTGGGATCACCTAGCAGAGTATCTGGAAAAGAGTGGAGAGTCCTTAATTGTGTTTCGAAACGAAGGCCGCTCACATTGATGACAACCCTTTCACAAAGGTGATGATCGTGGTCCAAAGGTTCAAAACGAAAAGGCAACGCAAGAGATATGTCACATTTAGATGAATTATCAAGTGAGGGGACATTTGATTCGGATGATGATCCAAGGTTAGATTTTTGTTGTTTATTGTGCTGAGAAGATGATGATGATGATTGTTGTTGTTGAGGTTGATTTTGGGTTGTTGATTGTTGTGATTGATGGTGATGATGATAATCATGGGATTGTTGTTGTTGCTGTTGTAGCTCTTGTTCAGATGCTTGTTGGTGTTGATATTTTCGTGACGTTGAAACCGATAAACGGGTAAACTCATTGGCAGATGAACTTGTAAGCTGAAAATGAGATTCAGTGTCTTGTTCCGATTGTTGCAATGATCTGAATGAGAAGACGAGAAGAGAAAAGCAAAATAAGAAACAAAAAATTAAACAACAACAAGGAAAAGGAAAAGGAAAACAAGAGATATAATTAATCAACCAGTGATTAACTGATTATCATTAAAAGATTAGTCTGGATTAGTTGATTGCTGAAGGAACAAAGTTGATTACCTAAAGACCATAGCACTTTAATAAGAATCATAACTTGTAGACAATCAATTTCATGTTCTAATTTCAATGATAAACTCAAAGCTTTTCCATCTTTCCTTTACTTTGTCATCATAATCTTTCCCTTTTCCTCATCATCTTTTTTCATCTTCTTCCCTTTTATCATCCTCATCTTCTTCAGGGATATATTTGTCTTCTTGTTTTTTTCTTTCTCTCTCTCTCCTTCTTCATAAAACTTAACCTTCTTATCCCCAAATATATTTCCCTACATTCCCCTATCTTCATCTTCATCTTCATCCTTATCCTCTAATCTTATTTTAATCATCTTTCTCTTTCTCATCTTACCTCCATCATCATCATTACTTTTCCCTATGAACTTTTCATGGAGGAAGAGAGACTGAGAGAGAAAAAGAAAGATGAATGAGTAAAGAAGATCTCTCATGAAAAACATGATGACGATAATTTTCCGCCATGAGAAATATCATCTTGCTAATGTTTCCTTTATGAATTTTCCATCTAAACTTTAATTTCGCCAACAAACCAAACAATTAACATCCTGTAATATTCATGATTAGATCAACATCTTTGTACATTAGTTAATTGTGATCAATTTACATAGAAGCAAAGAGAAGACAATCAAGTAAAAAGTGTAACAGGAAAAAAACAAAGTTCCAGCAAAAGTCAAGCAAAGGATAAGATGATGATGATGAAGAAGAAAAATTCAACTTCTTGTATCGGAAAGACGAAGATGAAAATATATAAATAAAAAGAAAAGGAATAGAGAGAGAGAGAGAGAGAGAGAGAGAGAGAGAGAGAGAGAGAGAGAGAAAACCCCAACGAGTGAGTTGAGAGAAGATGAAGAGAAAAAACTATGAGAAATATGAAAATAGAACTTTTTCGAATTTTCTAAAATTAGAACTGTTCAATTTTAGTTACTGACGAGGTATAAGGCGAAGTTGAAGAAACTCTATCAATGAGTCTATTTGTTGGCTTGTAAAACTTACAATGTAATTATCAGAGAAGATGAAACTTCATCATCATCTTCATCTTCATCCTCGATTCCAGGATGTTGTCAATTGTGATAACAATTTAACCCCTTCAGCAATTCAAGTAAATAATCAATAATTTCACACGAGAAAAACAATTGCCTATTTTTCCCTTGATGATAATCAGATAATCAATATCATTAGTTATCAATTTATTACAGAATTGCAATTAAGAGGAAAATGATTACATCAGCGATAACTCACAATTTCCATCTTCATCCTCATCCTCATCTTTCTCTCCCATGTCACCATAATGTATTTTACCTTGACCTTAAATATGCTTCCATCATCATCTCTTCCTTCATCATCAACTTTGTACCTTTTACCTTTAACATTTAGAATAGAAAAATGGATTTTCGATTCTATTTTCTTTTTCCTTTTTTGTTCTTCTTTTTCCCTCATCATAAGAATCAAATCAACCATTATGATGGATTATGATGATGGTTTCTCTTTAATGTCAATCCTTTTCTACTTTCATTACTTATCTTCATCTTCTCATCATTTTATATTCTTTTCCAAGATTATTTTCATGAAATTCAGGAGGAAAATCATCAATGAACATCCTTGGAACATGAATATATTAATGATTACCTTGATTCTTATTACCTGGGATTGGGAAAATGTTTAGTTAATCATTTTCTTTCTCCTTCTTCTCCTTTAGTTACAATATAGAGAAAACGTTAAACAAAATGTTTATAATGATCAAGAATCAGTTAATTGTCTGGAATGAAAAATATCACCCAAAAATCAGCGACAGCCGAATATCGGCTTGTAAGCTGAAATTCAGCGGATAAATATTAATTTCCCGGCGAAAGTCACCGAGAAAAATACAAAACCAACTCGAATTTATAAAAATAACCAACATGATGAAAGGAAATTTCAACTCACTAACTTGATGATTGTTGAACAATCTACATGTAGATTGTTCAGCAACTTGGAAACCATGGAAATTATAATCTAAAGAAATTTAAACTCGAAACTTTGAAACAGAATTTAAATTCAAATTGAAAGTGAAAATCAACGAAAAAAATCTATCAAATTACTCATGATAATCCTCATGAATAACTACTTGAAATCAATCATCATTTAGATTTATAATCAACTTGATTTCGGTTAATTATTTACACTCAATTGATTCCGTTGTTTATACAATCTGAATATTCAATAATATATTATGTATACAAAGAAAAGTTGAATTGTTAGCCAAGAACAGAAATGAATTATCACCAACACCTAATGAATTTGGTATTATTATTGATGAAGATGAAGAAGTAAAAAAGCAAAAAAGTAACGGTAAACAATTGATATTGGAGGAAGCAAAGCAAAAGTGTAGAGTGTTACTATGATGAGATAGAGACAATTCAATCAACCATGTTGAGAAATAATTAGTTAATTATGTTTGATAGCAATTGGAAACTTACCTGTTTCTTGTAGCTTCCCAAAGAGCTGATGCAAACTTCCACATATCGTGACTTTCATTGAGGAAATATTATGTTAGGTAAATTTACAGAGAGAAAATGATACACAAACAATTCCAATCAGATTCCTATGGGATTTTCTTCCTTGGCTTAGATATAAATATGATATGTGTCTTACTTTTTATATGAATGAAATCGTGGAAAAAATTTACTTCAAAAATTATCTTAATTTCTCTCACTCTCACTCTGTCTCAATCTCAATCTCTCTCTCTCTCTCTCCCTAGTTCGGTGATTCTCCTCGACTCTCTTTCTTTCTCTCTCTCTCTCTCTCTCACTCACTCTATCTCTCTAATTGGCAGTGGGGAATGGTGATTTACCGTTAATCATATTAAAGGTAAACATCATTGGTAATTGTATCGCTTTAAGGTTAAACGTGGTGACACGAGTCATGGATGAGCAACAGACAGCGAAAGGTTGAAATAGAACATAAAATAAGGCAAATACGAATGCACATGGATAACCGAACAGTATTAGAACCAGGAACCACAAAACACTCCATATTGATGGCATTATATTTATTATCTTATATCGAATTGTATTTATGTGTATGAATATATATAAAAAAGAAGATAAAGAAAAAAGAAAACACCAGAATATTTTTGAGATGAGAACTGTTGTTATTATATATTTTCTGTTCTCTGTATGAGTAGAAAATGGGATTTATCGGTATTCTTATTATAAGAGAAAAGGGTTAATTCCAATGGTAAATAACATTGGACCAAAACACAAAGAATAAACAATTACCATGAATGATGAATGATATTAAACTGAGGCTTCTATTTGGTTCTATCCCATTTGCTTTTCTTGTTCGTGGTTTTTTTTAGACACCGAAGCCAGTCGATTGAGCCGGTCGGTCAGTCGACCATTGATCGACTATGCCTTAGCTGATGTTTTTTGACTTAGTCGACTCTAGTCGACTAAGTCGAGTAAACTCATTGAACAAACTTTGACACACAAGTGAACATCGGTTTAGAGTTTCTGGCCACGTTTTTGGTACTTTTGAATTGTTCTTTTTTCTCCATCTTTTTAAAATAGTTTTCTACTTTAAATATCTATAACAATGGCACAGAGGGTAAGTTTAAATGTTAACTTGTTATTAAAAAGTCGTTTCATTTGAAGTGTTTATTTTTTTACTTACAGGTTTCGATAAATAACATTGAATGGCCTGTAGAGAGTCATCATCTTACCAAAATAAATGGCAAAATTCATGAAAAACATACATCCAAATGGTATGGTGAACTAAAGGACACAACCTACCACGGTGAAGGTGAAGAACCAGCATTGAAGTTTGTCGAAAGAGAAGCTGATTGCTACACGATTCAGGAGCTTAAAGTTAAAACCGCATTAAGGAAAGCAAAGCGAGGAGAGAAATCTTATAAATGTCCATATTGTGGAAAAAAGTTTTCACCAGGAAGAATTGACAATGCTAGGCGACACATGAAGAAAAGATCGGACGGTGACGTTGCATGTCCTGTGCGACGCGAGTCTGGAGAAAATCTGGATAGCGAACCATTATTGCAACCAATTGAATATTAACTGTTCAAAATATTTAATGACACTGATTTTGATGAATAAAATAATTTCGAATTCAAAATTTTGTTTACGATTTTTTACCGCGAAATTCAAATTCGGAGGGGGTTGGAGGGTGTTTTTGCACATGCTATTTTGATCACTTTCTCTTTTGAAAAACACAATCATATGTTTAAATTGAACAGTTTAATTAATCGCAAACATAGTCTAATTGTTTTACAAGTGTTATTTTCGCCTTGCCGGTAGTTTTTTGTGAACTTTCAAAGAATAAACAATGGATCTCAAGGTAAGTTTCATTCAAGTTATTACGCATAGATAATTTTAGCAAGTGTTTTAAATGTACATTTTTCGTAGGTAGAGCAATGTAAATTTCGACCTATTCGTAATAAAAAATCGGCTGTTTGGAAATATTTTGGTTCAGTAGTCGATCAACATGGGCAAAGTGTAGACGATCAACTTTACTTTTGTGAAATTTGTTTTCAAAACGAGTTGACTCTTGGAAATAGGTTGAAAAGCGTAACAAAATTTCGTGTCACTACAGCAACAACTAATCTATCAATCCATCTACTCAACCTTCATGAAATCAGCGCATCTAAGCCTGGCTCAATTACGAAGTTTCTTAAGAAAAAGCCTGATCAATTGTTTGGTGTTCAAAGAAAGTTCAAACTTACTAATGATATTGCGATCTGGTTTTGTCTTGATTTGATACCATTCCATAAAGTTGAATGCAATGGATTCCAAAGATTTCTATCAGAGTACAAAATAGTAAAGGACATTAAAGATATTCCTTCAGCAAGAAATTTATCTCAAAATGGTTTGAGCCGTATCCATGCTCAAATAGAGTCACGAGTTAAAGATTTTTTACCGAAAAAAAACTTCGCTCTTGCTGTTGATTTGTGGACCGACAGCTCTCGTAGAATGAAATACCTTGGTGCTACATTACATTACATTAGCGGTGTAGAATTGAATCGTTTGTCTCTTGGAACTTGTGCATTCCCTGAAGCTCATACTGCGGTCAACATATACACGAAGCTCAAGAAACTTTGTCAAAAGTACGATTTAGATCTTGAATCTTCTTTTATTGTGCGAGATTGTGGAGCAAATATTCTGTCTGCGTAACTCGCATCATCTCAAATCACATTCTTGTTTAGGGCATGGCATACACAATTTAATAACTGTGGATGGTTTTAAAAATGTCGAAGAACTGATGACTCTTTTCATGAAGATGAAAGAGATTCATTCGGCATTAAGATATAAAAATGCAGATATTGCAGCTTTTTCGAATGATACACAGCCCGATGAACATAGTGACAATGAGCATATAGATGAATTTCAGAGTAGTGATCATCAGGAGCAGCTTGAAGCCGAAATATTCCCTTCAAATTTCGATGAAATAGCTGAAGAGATAGAAGTTGAATATGATGATTCTTCACCTGCAACTCCATCACCAGAAACTCGCCAACATTCAACATTGAAAAGTTACTGTCCAACAAGATGGCACTCACTTTTAATAATGATTAAATCAATGATAATCAATCATCGTGCCATAAACGATTCAGTTCAAGAGATGGATAGGAGTGAATTGTGGATATCTAAAAAAGATCTTATTTTGATGGAGAATCTAAGTGACTTCCTGGAGCAGTTCAAAACAGCGGTGGATATGTTAAGTTCAGAAAAACAACCAACCATTAACAAAGCTGCTGTTTTTCGCTGTCATCTCAAGAGTATTCTTGACGATTCTGCAAGTTCGAGCTCAGCAATTGATCAGCTGAAATCTAAGATGTCATCTAATTTCAACAAGCGTTTCCCGCTGACTGAGTTGATGATAATTGCCTCGCTTCTCGACCCAAAGTTCAAAGATCTTGACGTTATTTCAGACTGGTGTGAGGAAAATTTCACATCTAAAAAAGCTTTGATTAAAACCTGGTTTCATAAGCTCATTAATGACGATTCTGGCATCTCCAACTCTCCAATAATGCCAGTTACAGATGGAACACAATTGGCGCACAAATTTTCGACTAATACAAACACAATGACCAGCTTTGACCTAGAAATAGATTCATATTTGCTCGCTCGTGATACAAAAGACTTGCTAGAATTCTGGGATGAGCGAAAATCAGCCTGGCCAAGTTTATATAAACTTGCTTTAGCAGTCCTAGCAGTTCCTGCCACAAGTGTTCCCGTCGAAAGATTGTTTTCGATTGCAGGTCTTACTTTGAATAAAAAACGGAGTCAACTACATCCCGAAAGATTGAGTAAAATATGTTTTATTCATGACAACTTCAACTTTGTATCAAAAAATTGTGAAGATTTTGATTATTAAATAGCATTTCTGCTTATTAACAATAACCCCCTCCAACCCCCTCCGAATTCAAAATTCGCGCAAAATTTAGTCGACTAAGTTGATTTTTATTCATAGTCGACCGAGTCGACTAAAAGTCGACTGAAAGTGTTTTTTTTTATAGTCAGTCAGTCGACTATAAATCGACCGGCTTCGGTGTCTAGTTTTTCTTACTTGGAAATGGATTTTTGCTCATGCTCGTTTCTTTGAACATTTCGGGATTTTCGAATCTCTTATTTACATTTATCTAATCCTTGAAAATTGTGTTTGTTTTGTGACATGCTATTGATCAGTAGGTTTATCGATGCGAATGTGGCAATCAATTGATCGCTCATTTTAAATTTATTCTAGTTGGTCCTTTTGTTTTGTTTCCTCGAATTTTTAAAATTTCGAGAAAAAAAGTGACATCTCTTGGAAGACCAAGTAACCTTCACATGAGAGATGCAACAAATGTCATACGGAAGAAATTGCAAAGGAAAATAATGATTAGAATTGAAGTATTTAGATGAGTTTCCATTTTAGAAGTTATTTTCCATGAGTTGGTCAATAATTCGGGTCTTTTGAACATTCCAAGTGAGTTCGAATGGCTCATCTGAGAGAAATAATTTCCGAAATCAAAACAATCGAAAGCTAGTGACATCTATTGAAAAGAAAAGATAATCTATCAACACCAACCCAATTCAATTGATATTCTCAATCAAGAGATGGCGATGGTTACATTCAACTCCAAGAGTAAAACTTTTTGATAAACTTGATAAAATTAGATAAATGGTAATGTTAATCATGGAAAGGGAAACATTTTTACTCTAATCACCGGTGAATCAATTTCTGTTAATTCTGTTAACTGTTTACTATAATATTTCCAATTTAAATTCACCTTCCATTTTACAATTACTTTACTACTACTTAACTACAATTAATTGTCTAATTACCAACGAGATAAACAATTTAATCCAAACAAAAAGAATCAACAATTAACAATTAACAAGAAGTAAAAAAACATCAACAACCAACCAACATTTAAACAACATGATCAACATCAATAGTTGAGTTCCATCTCTTAATCATTGTTATCATAACCGCCATCAATTTAATCACACAACACACACAAATACACTTTAACTAATACAATACAATTAGTGATTAGTTTAATTCATTCATTTCCAACAATTAACAATCAATTCTCTCTCTCTCTCTCTCTCTCTCTTTGTCTCACTTTGTTCTCTCTGTCTATTTCCTTTTGTCTCTTTTCATTTGTTTTTTCATTTTCTTCCCATTTCTCGATAATCTCATGTAAGTAAATTTCTTATTATTACCACAATCGATTACGATGTTACTATTATATACTCGATAGATGATATTATTTATCGAACTTGCTATGATCAAAATGAACCATGAAGATAGTTGGACTGTCGGTAAAATGATCTGTTAGTTGTTTGACCACGACACAAGGTAGAAAAATACCAAATACAAAAAATCTTTGTGCGTGTTTCAAGCGGCTGTCCGATCATTTTCAAATTACTCAACAAAATGAAGCAAAATTTTCTCAACAGTTACTTTCAGTTCATTTCGTTACAATCAGAGCAACAATAATACAATTGTTGGATCGACAACAAATCAACATAATTGTAACAATTTAATCTAATCTTAAAACTTACTTACTCTCACTTTCTCAACATCATCACCATCATATTTATCACCTAATCTTTGTCTTCTTGGCAACCAAATTGTTACCAAAATGTGTAAAAATGGTTCTCCAACCGCCCGAGTGTGTGTATGAGCCTCACAACAGCAGCAAGAAAACTTCATCTTGAAACTAACCTAATTTACACCATAGGAAAAAACTGTAGAATACAAAAAAAAAATCTATTTATAACTAATTTCTAAACTCGTAATGTTAATCAACATTCAATTCTCAACAATCAATTACCAATATAAAACCTGTAAGTTGATTGTTATCATTTGATTCAGTTTGTCAGCTAAAGTTATCAATGTTTGCATCCTAAAAGGATACAGACAAGGTAAGCAAATAATTGATATTTGATCCTATTGATTTGCCAAGTGATGGGAACATGATGATGGTGATGATGATGATGATAATTATATTTGCATCCGTTATCCTCCATCACCCACCTTGATGTTTTCATTTTGTTGACAAAATGTTTAGAGGTGATAATGTAAATTGAGAGGAGTGAGAAGTTGTTGAAAATGTTGTTTATCTAATCAACAGTTGATACAAAGAGGTGACCACAAAGATGATGATGATAATGTTGATGATGTGACATGATTAGTATGCTAATGATGCAAAATGAGAGGAGGAAGATAAGTCAAGCCTTAATTGTAAAGGTAAAACAAGATTGCTAATCTTTTGGTTAAGCTTGGGTTCCAGGTAAGGTTTCATTTTCTCTCTCTCTCTCTCTCTCTCACTCACTAACTTTTGTTTTACCATCAGCATCATGACTGAATTTGAAAGTCATCATTGGGATGAAGATGCGTTGATGAGAAACTGCAAGATCTTCATGTTAGAAGGATCAATTTCATTTGATTGGCTTCAAGATAAAACAAATGACGATAAGAAAAAGGTAAATATTCATTGAATATCAAGCGAACAGTAAACATAATATCAGCTGTTAATTGCTAATGAAAAAGAGGCGAAAGAAAAATTCTGATAATATATGACGAAGAGAAATTTTATCTCTTCATGATAAACTTTTCTTTAGCCATTGAATCGTAGACTCAATCGACTCATTCAAATGCTCACAATTAATGATGAGAACCAAAAAAATGAGAGAGAGAGAGAGAGATGAATCAGGTAAATGATCATATTCATTGATGAATCACCTTCTTCCCAAGGAAAAATAAAGAAACGTTGACAAGGCAACAAACTCAATTGTATTCATATTATCCGGTGAGTGGATTGATTAACCATGGAAAACTATCAAACAATTCAACCTCTCCCATCCGACTCACCTTATTGTCTTGATGATCATTATTAGATTATTAGATTTAAATGATATCCTAATATTATATATGGAAATCTATGAGACGATCATGATAATCGGAATCAATTTCTCACGTTAAACTGCACGATATCAAGAATAAAACAGATACCAATGAATGACCAGGAGAACGAGAATCAGCTGATGAAAATGTTCGTATCAATTTCTTACGATTTCAATATGAAAATATGTCGAAAGATTGAAGATTTAGTTTGATAAACTTATTCTGGTCACCATGAACTCATCTGATCATTATTATTGATTGAATATCATTTTGGATTGTTAATTGTGTTCGTGCTTTTTAATTCATCGTCAAGGGTTTTAATTTGTTTACCTTTTTAAAGATCGTTAATCAAACTGAAAGAAATTAAATCTATCACCAGAATTTACTGTTGACATTTTTCATGGAAGAGAAAAAAATTTCCAGGATATTATTATAACTCATGAGAGAAGATAAAAACAATGGAAATTATCATTACCATTCCTGATATTATATCGATTAGCGATTATTTTTATTCGAATAATTTTTTTTGCTTCTTCTTCATGTTGATCCATTTTTTTGTGGTTCTCGTTCACCAGATTAAGCTTATTCATTGGAAACATCATCATGGTTTATTGATCAATCTTCATGTTCAGTTGAGTTCAGTTCAATGGAATCAGAATGAAAATATTAAGGTAATAAGTATGTTTGTCATTATCATGGAAACCGGTCAACCTCAATTACAGTTTAACTTGATCATCATCATCATCAATTCATTATGAAGGATAATGATGAAGAGGAAGATAAATGAGTGAGTCTTTGTTGTCATCTAAACCATCATCATATTAATATGAATGAATCAAATTATTACAATCAAGATATCGGCAAATAATATTATTAACATGGTAATAATAATCTATGTAAATCTCATCAATTGATTATCATAGTTAAAGGAAATGAAAACCTTAACATCTAGTGAGCAAGTAAATTGGTTAATTTTATCAATTAAAATTGAGTTAATTGTTTTTATTTTCTGAATCATTTGTGCGATCAAAAGTTTTGTCATGAAAATTTGTTTCCCTCTTTTCCTATTACATAAAATTAATGATGATTAAGATTTTTAAATGTCTACAATTAGCTGAACTTGTTGGAACCCAACAAGGGAAAAAAAGGTTAATCACATTGTCTGGTTCGAGATAATTATCGAAATGATGATTACATTGTGTTTCGAGACTTTCATGATGAATTCAAGAAAGATAGAGAATTAAAATTGATCATAGTGGTGAATTTTTTTTCCTTCTACTAAAAGACAATGAGATAAATCTGGTTCACTATTGGAATGGCAAGAATCCCATGGAAATGGAAGAGATAAATTTAAGATTAATCTTTTTCTCTTTTACTTTTTTTCTTCTCATCTCTCCATCATTTTCAATTGCGTTCTGTAACGGTTACATTGCTTTCGCCTTCGTCCTTGTACACTATGTGTCGTTGGCCTTTTTCCTTGTTGGCTTAACATCTCTCTCTCTCTCTCTCTCTCTCTCTCTCTCTCTCGCCACGATATATTAATCTTATAGCCCCATCAGTAAAAGCTCAATCAAGAAGCTACGGCTTACCTCAGCATCTTGCTAGTTCAAAATGTCTCTCGAATTCATAGAATTCACTCGTTCTCTCTCTCCCTCCCTCTCCCTCTCATTCTCGTCCCACTCACTCAACAACCACCACCAAGACAAAAATTCAAAATAGCACATGGATTCATCTTCTATTCTGTGTTAGAGATAAAGAAGAAGAAAAAAACTAAGACGATCATCTTATATCTTGTCTTAGCTGTTGTGTTGTTGTTGGTGATGATGATAATGGTGTAGATGATGATGAGGATGACAAAAGAGGCGGGAGCTGTAAATATGAAGAAAATGATACTCTTTCCTAGCTCTCTCTCTCTCTCTCCTCCTCTCCCTCTCTTCCTTTTCTTCAACATTTATAATATTAAGATAAAAAGAAGATGA